ACCACCAGGGAAGTCCTTAAGGGGGTTTTTAAAGCTTCAGTGAGAACAGCAGGGACACGTGTTCTCCATTTCCAGTTTCAGGGAGGTGGTGGTTGAGTGTGGGCTCTGGAGTCAGCCTGGGTCTGAGACCTGGCCCCCCATTCGGGGTGACCTTGGTGAGGCTGTGCACCTTCACAGGGCCTCAGAGATGAGGTTAGGCCAAACAATATGAGATTGTTAATATGAGACTTTTTTAAAATCGAGATCGTTGTAGATTCACATGCAATTGTAAGAAATAATACAGAGAGACCCCTTGGCTACTTTGCCTAGTTTCTTGCGATGGGAACATTTTGTCAAATTGTAGTATAATATCACAACCAGAGTATTGACATGGATACAGCCGATGAATCTTAATCTTATTCAGGTGGGCCTTCCTTGTACCGTGTGCGCGCGCAGTTCTGTGCATCTCCATCACATCTAGGTCCCTGTATCCACTATCCCCACCAGAGACTCTCCTGTTTGCTTTTTCATAATCACACCCACTTCCCTTCTGCTTCATCGCCTCACCCTTGTCCTTAACCCTGGCAACCACCAATCTGTCCTCGATTTCTAAAATTTTGTCTCTGAGAACGTCATGGGAATGGAATCATGAATGTAACCTTTTGGGGTTGGCTCAGTACAAGCCCCTTGAGATCCATCAGAGTTGTTGCCACACTGGTAACAACTTTCTTTCCTTTGTGTTTCTGAGTGTTGTTCCCCGCAGACCACAGTTTGTTTACCATTCACCTGTTGCAGGACATCTGTGCTAATTCCAGTTTTGGGGAATTATGAATAAAACTGCTATGAACATTCTGTGGAGGCTACTGGACCATTTCTGACGTACCAAAATGGCGGTCTCTGACAACGCAGTCCAGTACCCAGAGGCGCCCTGCGCTCTGCTGGGTGTGTGGATGTGTGGACCTAGCTGGTCTGTGCACAGACCTCAAGACACATCCTGCCTCCTCCGTGCCATTGTCTGAACTACGGAAGAAGTTCCTGCTCTGGAAGGCTGAGCTCTGTGCTGGCCACCCGCACCCAGCCCCGTGCCCCTTGACCTGGAGCGTTACCACAGGAGCCCGCGGCTGCTGTCTCTGGGGAGCAGGGAAGGGAAGGCAGACATGCACTCAGCCCCACCGCCCTGTGGGTATGACCACCCTCCAGCACCTTGGTGTCCTGGCGCTGGTTCTGTCCACGGTGTGTGTGGAGCATCTGCCCACACGGGGCTCCGCTGTCACTCGCATCCACACTCCAGCTTCTGCCAGGGAGCGTTGTGGTCCCTGGGAGCTTGGGCTTGGAGAACTGGTCTGTGTCTTCAGACCTCCGGCTGAGGCCAGTGCAGCAAGACCAGGCTTTGGCTACTTGGGGCTCCTGGAATCTGGGGCCTCTGGAAAGGCCGCACAGGAGGGCGGTCAAGGAGGCCAGGGCGGTGCTCGGTGCTTTAAAACCCAGAGTGTGGGCCAGCCGAGGGGACCGTGCTTTCCGTGGGACTGATTACAACTGTCTAGTGCTGAACGGAAACTGCGATTAGCAGTCACAGGCCTTTGAAAAATTAATTAATTAATTAATTGGGCGGCATTGGGTCTTTTTAAAAATAAATTTATTTATTTAATTAATTTATTTTTGGCTGCGTTGGGTCTTCGTTGCTGCACCGGGGCTAATCTTCATTGCGGTGTGTGGGCTTCTCATTGCAGTGGCTTCTCTTGTTGCGGAGCACGGGCTCTAGGCGCACGGGCTTCAGTAGTTGTGGCACGTGGGCTCAGTAGTTGTGGCTCGCGGGCTCTGGAGCACAGGCTCAGTAGTTGTGGCGCACGGGCTTAGCTGTGGTTGACACTGGCTTCATGTTGCCAGGGTCTGCGTCTGCACTCTGTCCCCACTGGTCTCTACTTCTGGGCTGGGAACGTGCTCTTTGAATGCTGTCGTTCTGACAGTAAAGTGTAGTCTGCTGTGTTTCCTTGTGAATATGTGGCTTGATTATAGTTGTGTGTTGGTTCTGATGTGAACGTGTGTGCAACACGAAGCGTTTTTCATATTTTTAGGGTATTTCTTCAATGTGCATTCCCCAGAAATGGGATTACTCTGTCACAAGGTATAAATATTTTAGAGGCTCTTAATTTGTGTTGTCTTCTAGGAATAATTGAGTCAATTACTAAGTATTTTCTCTTAAAATGAAAAGACTTTTAGACTAGAATTTAGAAGCCCTGGATTTTGTTTCCAACTGGCTTTTAATTCCCTGCATGACCTCAGACAACTTGAAAATATATTATTTTTTAACGTCACTTAACTTGGGCCCAGTAGAGCACTGGTTCTCTACCCATGTGATTTTGCCCTTCAGGGGACTTGGGACAGTGTCTGGAGATGTTCTAGCTGTCACAGCTTGGGGAGGTGCTCCCGGCATGCGGTGGGTAGAGGCCGGGATACTCAGCACCCTGCGGTGCCCAGGACAGCACAGGATGATGTGGCTCCAGGTGGTAAGTTGTGCTGGGTTTGAGAAACTCAAGTTTCCTTCAAAACTGAATAGTAGTTGTATAATTTGTTGCATTCCGAGTGTAGACATTCATCATAAACTCTGCGTTGTTCCGTCACTGCCTTTATAGGAAAATTGAAAAGCTTAGTGAGTTGTTGCTTTTCAGTAAAACCAAGGTGTGGTGATTGGAAGCTGCTTTTCTAGTCCTTGAGGTTAATAATGTCAGCTTCAAAAAGTCCTGTACCAGCAACATAAGGACAGAAAATTCTAAAACCATCTTTGCAAAACACACATACACATCTGTAAGCACAGGTCAGGAAACCACTTAGATCTTTTGGAAACCGAGTGCAGACCTTGGAAATCTACTCTCCATAAGCACTGTGTCCTGGCAGCTGTGTTTGTCTCCTGTGTGCCTGTGCGTGTCCGGTCCTGATGCTGCACGGCTGGTGCGTTCGGAGGTGGGAGCGAGCTTGATGGGATTGTGGAACAATAGGTGTGAATGGAATAATGCTGGTTGTTTTGTTCTTGGGATCTCAGTTCTCTTCAGGACCCTGCAGCGTCACTGTGTTCACATGGCCAGGCCGCAGGCTTGCTTGATTGGTTGATTGATTTCGGACATGGAGGTCTTTGGAGACGCTTTGCAATAAAAGCTCTTCTTTTTATAATGATTTTGGAAGATTGTATATTGTGCCATTTGCTTTTCTTTTGATACTGTACTTTGGGTTTACTTTCAAAGAGTTGAAATTGCTACATTTTGATGTAAAAATATTCGATGGATGAAAAGATGTTTTTAGTTGTCTCTGTACCTTTAAACTCCTAGTTTTGAATGATGGAAATAAATTATTTCAATTAATGACAAAATGGAAGGGTGCCCAGTTACACAGTCCCAGGAGCGGGCATGGTCCTCTCATCTTCCTCTCCGGTCCTTATCAGGGCAGCAGAGGGGGCGAGGTCGCTGCTGGACCCGGGGAAGACTCACGGTGTAAACGTGAGAACCAGCTCTCCAGGCCCTGGGCCCTGGCCTGCCTAGCTTGAGCAGTACTGCTTAGACTTCGGGTGTGCTTCCTGGTTGTTATCTACCCCACCCCGACTTCTAAGAGGAACCGTTATTTTGAAATTTATAGTTTATGACTATTTGCTTTTCATTGATTTTTTTTTTTTTTAATATTTAGTTTTATTTATTTTTGGCTGCATTATGTCTTCGTTGCTGTGCGCGGGCTTCCTCTGGTTGCAGCGAGCGGGGACTGCTCTTCGTTGTGGTGCACAGGCTTCTCATTGCGGTGGCTTATCGCTGCAGAGCATGGGCTTTAGCTCGCGGGCTTCAGTAGTTGTGGCTCGCGGGCTCAGTAGTTGTGGCTCGCGGGCTCTAGAGCACAGGCTGAGTAGCTGTGGCACATGGGCTTAGTTGCTCTGCGGCATGTGGGATCTTCCCGGACCAGGGCTCGAACCCGTGTCCCCTGCGTTGGCAGGCGGATTCTGAACCACTGCGCCACCAGGGAAGTCCCTTTTCATTGATTTTTTACTGTATACATAGTAAATCGAATATATTAAGTTTCACGTACTTTTGAAAGACACATACATTCAATATATTCCTCTGAGACCTTTTCTCACTCACTGTTACGGTTTTTGAGATTTGCTGATGTTGATACATGTAGCTGCAGCTTACTCATGAGTAACGGGGTTGTTTGCCCATGGCGGGCCTGCCCACGAGGCCCCTGTGTGCTGCCACCCCCAGACGATATCTCTTAGTCATGTTGACGAAGTGTGCCAGCCCTTGTGGGGCCGCCCCAAACCTCTGGTTTCTCCTGCCGTGGACGCTGGAGGCATGTCTCCGACCTGGGATCCCGGGAAGCTTATGTGGTCTGAGTTATGGTCCTTTGCCTTTGAGGATGGATCCCTAGGTGGATAGAGAGAGGAGTGGAGAGGATACAGGGTGGCCGGGACCAAGCCCATCTGGGCGCCGCAGGAGCACAGCTTGAGGCTGGGAGAGGGCCTCTAGGCGGAGCGAGGCGGACGGGCCAGCCGTCGGGGCTTTGTGAGCCAAAAGGAGAGTTCACATTTTACTCTGAGTGTGACGGGGGTCCGTAGAAGACGCAAATGCATAACTTCGACAAAGGTTTACTGTCAAACTGCAAGTAAGGTGAAAGTCTGTGGACGGCCCTTCCAGGGCCCCAGTCCTCAAGCCCCTTCTCTGGGGAGAATGACCGGCCTATCGGAGTGTTCTTTCCTTAACTGGGCCTTTCTGGGCACTGCCGTCCAGGAACCATGATCAAGAACAGAGACTTCCACCCGGGTAGCGTCCTCCCACAAACCACCAGGTGTGAGTGCCTCTCCTGGTGTCCTCTCCCTTTATAGCCCAAACCAGCCAGCCAGACATCCTAAAAACCTCTTGCTTGTCGGGAGTTCCGTGAAGTAAAGGAAGGTTGTAGTGTGGTCCAAATGGAGAGAGACTGACATTATAAAATGAACTGAGTAGAAATTATTATTTACATGAGCTAACTTTACTCTCTTCTTTCAGAATACCCTCAGTGCTGCTCTGGGACACGCCTCTGTTGGATTTAATTTACAGTCATCAACCTCGGCTTTTAGCGATGGACTCGGTAAATATTTTATTGTATTGCCTCTCTCATCAGTTTGTGTTATTTTCATTGGTTTGTAAAAAGAAGTATCAAAATATTTCTTAAGTCTTCACATTGGTTTTCTTGAGCTTGATAGAGCTTTGGCTAAGTGTTCTGGGTTTTGTCCTGGATTTCACTTAACTGAGGGTGCTTCAGGGCGGTGGTGAGCTGCGTGGTGTCCCAGCGAGAGGCGTTCTGTGGACAAATTAAGACAGGTTGGCAGCCTGGTCTGTGAAAGAAGTTGGTTTCTTGTCAACTTCTGTTGTCTTACTGGCTCTGTCCCCAAGTGGTCTGGAGCCTGTAGGACCTGCTTGCGGTGCCTGTTTTGTGCTCTGGGCGTGTTGCACACACACCATCTGAGAACTGCCCCTCCTCCTCTGGGGAGGCAGGCTGCCTGGCTGTGCTCTGCTCTGTGTCCCGTGTGTGGGCCAGCTGGTAGCCACACGTGGTTTTCCTGAAGTCCGAGGCCAGCGTGTGTGGGTGTGGAGTGGGCTCCTGGCTCGTTTGCTCTGAGCCTTGCGTCCCACTGGGAATTCCTAGCACGGCTGTGCCCGGAGGGGCAGCTGCCCTCCTGCAGCCTGGGGCCCGACTGGCACTCGTTGCTCTAGGACAGAGCCCTCCTCCCCTGGGACACGTTGGAAAGAAAACTCTTGGCTCCTTTGCATGTTTCCTACCGTGGCCAGGTATTAGTGTTTTAAAGCGAACAGTGCCAAAGTGTATTTTCTATTTTGTGTTGTTTCTAGCAGACAGGAAAGAAACCTTTCCTGCTACTTAATCTCACAGACCCCGTCCTCTATCTCAGCCGTCATTGTATCCGGCCACTTTGAAATGCACCTGGCTGGACTCTTTGACTTGAGGAAGTGTTTCCTTGGAAATGGGGGTGAGGTATGATGGAAAGATCTTAGTCTGCAGGGTGGTCTGGGATTAGAAAGAAGCCAGCCTGGCCAGTGGGGTGTGGTGGTGAGGGGCCGTGGTGGGCCCTGTAGCATGCTGGGAGCGCTCCCACGGCCGTCTTCCAGGATGAGCCCATGCATTCAGCTTGGCTGTCACGGGCTGTGGGGCAGCCATTGAGAGACTCAGCCCAGCAGGGGGTGAGCTGGGCGAGGAGGGGCAGCCAGGCCCACCCACACTGCAGGCTTGAGCCTGGCCTTTGTTTGGAAATGATAACATCGGCCTTAATTTATAACGAGGAAAAAAAATGCTGCTTAAATTAGGTTATTAACAAGCATTTGGTGATCGCTGCTTAAAAGGAAACAAGTTATCAGCAGCTCTGCTGAGAGGTCTGGGGCTGGCCCAGTTGTTCTGGTGGATTGTGAGCAGTAGGTGTGTTAACGTTGGCAAAGTTTCCTGACACGTGAAGGGCTGGCTGTTTGACGGTAAGTCCCATGGCAGTAATCCACGGTGTCTAATGCCGTTTATCACTTTTGTGAACCATAAATATTCAGTTAATATTGACTGTAATTGTCTTTAAAAAATCCACAGTGTATGGAAGGAATAGAGATAAAGGTGCTACTTTGACTGATCACCAGGGGGGCCCCTCCCGGGTCCGGGGCCTGCGTGTGTGGGCACAGGTGCCGGGGTCTACGATCCATGACCTTTCCTGGCATCAGAAGGCACAAATATAAAAACAGAATAATTTTGCAGGCTCTCTAATAATTGTTCATTGTTATTTATATCATTCATTATTTTATTTTATTTTTTTTGCGGTACGTGGGCCTCTCACTATTGTGGCCTCTCCCGTTGCGGAGCGTAGGCTCCGGATGCGCAGGCTCAGCGGCCATGGCTCACGGGCCCAGCCGCTCCGCGGCATGTGGGATCTTCCCGGACTGGGGCACGAACCCGTGTCCCCTGCATAGGCAGGCGGGCTCTCAACCACTGCGCCACCAGGGAAGCCCCATTCATTATTTTTAATTTTCATTTTGACCACGTAAGGTAGAATATGAAGCATTTAGATCACACCTGAGATCACTGTTTCTGACAGAGGTGGGCTTGTTAAGTATCCTTCAGTGCACACTGCTGTGCTCTCGGCCCTGCCCTAAGGTGATCCAGGTGTGGTTGTGGCTCCAGGGTCCGGGAGGGGGCGGGCCGATGCCAGCTCTGGACGTGGGCCCAGGTCCTGCTGGGCCTCGGCTCCCCTGCCCTGTGAGGCCGTGATGGCCATACTCATCCGAAAGATTTCCCGAGAGCTTAAGTGACCCTGTTTACGGAGGTAAAGCTCAATGAAAATAGAAGCTTTAAAATAGTTAGATTTATTCTTTGCTTTCCTTTCTCGAGCATAAAACACTAGTTTCACCTGATGGCTGGTGTAATTCTCGCTGTGTTAACATCTTTCTTGGTAAAGCGCAAGGGTCGGGGCAGAGGTGAGCCTTAAATGGCTCTCGATGGCACGCGTTCCGCCAGGGTTCGGTGCGGGTGTGGCTGCTGCCGCCGAGGGTTGTCAGCAGCAGGGACCCCAGGGCAGCGCAGGGTGGTACCGTAGCTTCCTGTGGACAGGAGTTCTGAGTGATGTTTCCAAAAACAGAGTGGCTTCTGGAAGTGGCTGTTAGAGTAATAAAGGCAGTGTGTCTATTTGAATGGAGGCTTGGATCTAATGGTTTATGTTTCTAATTGAACACCTCCATAAAAAATACAAAAGTGATCACTTTCTAAAATTGAAGTACAGTTGATGTGTAGTATATAAAACTTACGTAGTAAGTTACAGTATAGTGATGCGCAGATTTAAATGTTACCTTACAGTTACTGCAGAGTGATCACTTTTGACTTGCTGGGGTGTGCAGAGCAGTGACACGCCCTGTCTGTGGCATCCTGGCGCCCGGAGCAGGCTGTGTTCACTGTGGAGCTGTGAGCGCGAGAACTGCAGGTCTTGTCAGCGGCAGAACCAAGTCCCCCTCCACCTGCTGTCCGGATGCGGGCTGGGGGCGTGGGGGAGGGCGTCCTGTGCCTGGGGCCCCTCGTGATGGGGAATGTGTTGCCGTCTGGTGATGCAGCTCTTCTGGGTAGGTCTCTCTGTGCCCCTCACATGGCAGGAGTGGCGATTTGCTGACCCTGCCACCACCCAGCTAGTGGTGGCCACTAGTGACTGTGGCACTTCACAGTCACAGCACACGTGGCTGGGGGGGCTACCGTCTTGTGCCTTGGCTGCAGGGCGGAAGGCTGGGTTGGATTTGCAGGTGGTAAGAAGCTTGTAGATACTAATGCTAATGATACATTTGCCTTTTTAACAAGGATATTTGTCAGGATTTAAAAATAGGTAACAAAGCACACTTTTGCTTCTTTCTCTAAGAAATATGTCTAGCTAATTACACCAATAAAACTTATGTATTCCGGATTTTTGAGTATAGTAAATTTTTATTGTAATTTTAGAGTTCTGGGGAATATTCATTGTCTAGGCTCCCTTAAAATACATACAAAGTATGGAATATTAGATGTCATTTAAATTAGATTTCATTAAATGCATGCTTTTTGTTCATATAAAAATTGGCAGTTGTGTTCACACACCTCCCCAGAAGGCTCTCGCTCTCCCCACCACAGCCCTTGTTGGTCAGTAGGACTTGGGTCCTTTTATTCCAGGACATGGGAGTTGCCTGGAGAGTGCACATGCCCAAGAACAGGGTTTGGAAAATAGGCAGGGCAGAGCAGAAGGGACGGTCTGAGCCCAGGCTGTGCCCCAGCTCCTTTCCCTCTGGACGTTTCTAGCTGAACTGGCCTCTGGGCTCTGGTGCCTCAGCTGTGCTGGGCAGGAAGGCATGTGGAGATTCTGCTTGCGACTGGAAGGGTTTGTCGGCTGTTTGTAGCACCTCATTTGTTGCCTATAATATTGCCATTGTTTTCCCTCCATCGTTAGCTACAGGGATTCTCATGGAGCCAGTGTTCATTTTATTTTTTTAACTTATTTTTTATGTTTTTATTTTTCTGCTTGTACCGTGAAGGCTTGCAGAATCTCAGTTCCTGGACCAGGGCTTGAACCTGGGCCACGGCAGTGAAAGTGCCGAATCCTAACCACTAGACCACCAGGGAACCCCCCATTTTATTTTTTTAAATATTTATTTATTTGTTTATTCATTTTTGGCTGCGTTGGGTCTTCATTGCTGCACAAGGGCTTTTCTGTAGTTGCGGCGAGCGGGGACTACTCTTCGTTGCAGTGCGTGGGCTTCTCATTGCGGTGGCTTCTCTTGTTGCAGAGCACAGGCTCTAGGCACACGGGCTTCAGTAGTTGTGGCTCACGGGCTCTAGAGCGCAGGCTCAGTAGGTGTGGCGCATGGGCTTAGTTGCTCTGCGGCATGTGGGATCTTCCCGGACCAGGGCTCGAACCCATGTCCCCTCTATTGGCAGGCGGATTCTTAACGACTGTGCCACCAGGGAAGCCCATCCCCATTTTACTTTTAATACCTTCAAATTTTAAAAGCTGGCTAAAGGGATTTCCTCCAAGTTTTATATTTGAGGGTGAAGAGATTTGCCTGTATCTGGCTCAGAGTAGAGCTCCACAGGTTGTTAAAACTGAGCTGAACTTGACTGCTGGACCAACCTGAAATCCCACCTTCCCTCCTGCTGCTCCTTGCTGGGCCTCACGGGACGAGGGCTCTGTGCAGTTACTGATGTTTGCTGCGGGGGGGGGGGGGGGTCCTGTGCAGCCCACTTGGATCTTGGTGGGGGGGAAGAAGAAGGCAGGGGAAAGGCGATGCAGGGCTGTGGGCCGGTGGGCTGTTCTGTGGGGTCGACCAGGACAGAATTGGGGAGGCGCCTTCATGGCTTGGCCTTGTGCACTCTAGGTTAGGTACCTTTTTTTTAAAATTAATTTGTATTGGAGTATAGTTGATTTACAATGTTGTGTTAGTTTCTGCTGTACAGCAGAGTGAATCAGTTATACATATACATATCCATTCTTTTTTAGATTCTATTTCCGTATAGGTCATTACAGAGTACTGAGTAGAGCTCCTGGTGCTATACGGTAGGTCCTTATTAGTTATCTCTTTTATATATAG